ACCCCCCCCCCCCCCACACACACACACTCAAACTCACATCCTTTTCTCTCCTAAACCACTTTAGTCACTTCCTACGTTTCCAGCTCCTGGATTGAACTGTCACCTACTTCAGCTTCCATAAAATTCGCCCTCAGCCCACATCTCCCCAAATTTCCCTCAATCTGAGCTGCTTACCCTGAAAAAATAAATAGTAATTTCTCTTTCACAGTTTTCTTCTTTTTTTAGCAGGTTCAACACATATTTTTTTCCTTTGACAGCTGCAGGTGGATTACATGCCGAGGTTTTTCTGTCATCGCTGTGGTTGATCAGAACAAAAAGAGAAACATTTAATCTCCTCTTACTTACTCCTTAAAGTCTCTCTTCATAATTCACCGGGAGAGATTTTTTTTTTGTTTTTTAAGTGAGCGATTCCGCAGAGGAAGACAGAAACATTTGTTAAGCTGAAAATGTGTTTCACTAAAAGTGTTGGAGAGGGAGTGAGGTGCGACACAACATGAGGTGGAAACTTGCATTTCACACTTATGGAGTTGTTCTAATGGCCTTTGCTTGATTATTTGCTCTCTGCTGCAGCTTAAGCACCTCTGTCATATGAAGAAGTCATGCTTTACTGAGGAAAAAAAGATGAGATGAAATATTGTTGCAATTAATATCAAACAAATGTTACTTAACACTCATTTTATTCATGTTTCACATCTTAAATACATAATATCAATCAACCTTTAAATGGTAATCCACGACTTTATGTTTTCTTGGGATGGAAATAACATGATTAATAGAACATAGGTTAAATAAAATGTCATTAAAGTAAAGTTAATTGGTATTACTTTGCCTGGTTGTTTTGTCAGAGCAATAAATGAAGAGTTTTTAACAGACGATATTTGAACAAACTAAGTTGGATGAAGAATCAAGCTAACCCTGCCGCCACACAGTTAAGCCCCTGTCACACCCTGACGATATAGACCAGCGTATGCCTGACCTACAAAAAATCTGGCAGTCTGGCTCACAAATCTGAAGTACGCCTAAACACGCTAAAACACGCTGGCGTGCCAGCGTAGGCCACACATGGGGCATAAGTTACAGGTAAGTCATTTGATCATTGACATACATTAAGTATAAGTTACTCATAAGTCGTGACGTCTGGGGGGCACCACTTTTGAAAACTGAACAACGACAACGAACAACTATGACGAAAGGTAGTCAGAAGTACAAACTACTGTGCCTCCCTACAAATTCCAGACAGACGGTGCAGAAGCAAACCAGCAAAACTTGTTCGCAACCAGACCCAAGCGACATTTGATGTGTACGGTTGCAGAAGACTAATATACCCTTAACTTGGGCATAAGGTCTGCGTAACTTATCAAGAACTTCTCTCCAACGCATATCAACGTATCTGACGTGTTCAAGACGAGCGCTGAACTTGTTTCTAACTTCCTGCTACTGTATGATGGGGCATTGGCAGCGTTTTGTTCGGACGGTCGCAAACCTGCGCAAACCTCAAGCGGGAGCTTGCAGACTAAAAGCAGCTGTGATTGGTCCTTGCTATGCCTTTCCGGCTGTCTGTGTGGTCGTCCTTCTCGATTCGGTGCTGGGGGGCGCCATTTTTAAAAATTGAACAACGAACTCGGACGACTACGATGAAAGGTAGTCGGAAGTACAAACAGCT